TTTTTCGATATATCGATACTAAGAAAACCATATCGATCTTTTGCCAAAATTCGAAAATATCGATTATAACGATTCCGATCCGATATTTTTGCAGCACTATTTCATACACCATTATACACTGATTTCCCATTGAAAATGGGTTCAGGGTATAAAAATAGCTTTAAATTATGAATATATATTTTGTGATATATTAGTTGGAAATAGTTAATTATTACTTAATATATATCAATGTATTTTAGATCTCTATATCAGACAATGGTTCACCTATATTGACATCAACTACTCGTGTGGTAGTATCGGTTTTAGATATTAACGATAATAGCCCAGTGTTTGATCAACGTGTGTATAAAGTACAAGTTCCTTCGACGACACATATAAATGAATCTATATTTCAAGTACGTATAAATTACTAAATGGTATTAATAGTTTGCCTACGGAATAATTTGTTTCTCTACTACCTTACATATATCTATATCTGTATCGGATCTCAATTATATGATTTAGGTTCACGCAATTGACAACGATGACGGGGAAAACAGTCGAATAACGTATTCAATCAAATCTGGAAAGAAGAAAAATAAGTTCCGTATTGATAGTTTTAGTGGGCATATATTTTTTACAAAGAGCTTCGAGGCTGACTCAGAATATGAAATTAATGTTAAAGCTGAAGACAATGGAATCCCTAAAAAAAGTCAAACTGCATTAGTGAATATACTGGTTCTTCCTATATCGCCAAATTCACCGAATTCTCCTTCAATCGCTAAAAAGTCAATAAATAATATTGTAGATCTGACGGAAAATGATAAGCCTGGTTTCTTAGTGACGCAAATTCAGGCAATCGACGAGGATAACGATCAGCTTTGGTATAATATCAGTGGTATGCTCTATAAATTATACATATCTATATAGAATATAGATTTTATAATAATAATTTGAATATTATTTTTAATAGGAGGAAATGAAGGAAATTGCTTCTACATTGGAAGAGATACTGGAAATGTACTGTTGTCAAAGTACTTGGATTACGAAACACAAACCTCTTACAATCTATCAATTAGTGTAACTGATGGCTCAAATATAGCACACACTTGGCTATATATACAAGTTGTTGATACAAACGACAATGCACCTCAATTTACTAAAGAGATATATCATGTTAATATATCTGAAAATATTGAGGAAGAATCTGTCATTATGCAGCTCCATGCAACTGATAGAGATGAGGATAAAAAATTATTTTACCAACTACATGCTACACAAGATCCATCATCCCTAACATTATTTCGAATAGATTCCATAAGCGGCAATGTAATAGTCACCCAGAAACTTGACTTTGAAAAGACATCGCAACACATATTAATTGCGTTTGTTAAGGACCAAGGGACACCAGGGAAGAGGAATTACGCGAAATTAATAATAAATGTACATGATCATAATGATCATCCTCCTGAGTTCACAGCTAAAATTATTCAAAGTAAAGTTCCGGAGAGTGCCGCAATAGGCTCAAAAATTGTTCAAGTTATGGCTATCGATCGAGATAGTGGAAAAAATGCTGAAATTCGTTACTCAATAATTTCCGGCAACGTGGGAAGTATGTTTGAAATTGATTCAACGTTTGGTATTATATATTTGACCGCATCCTTGGACATCAATAAAATGCAGGAATATATGCTGCAGGTTAAGGCTGTAGACCTTGGGCAGCCTCCATTATCCTCTCAAGTCCCCGTGCATATAATTGTTACCATGTCTGATAACGATCCCCCAAAGTTTTTCACCGATATGATTTCATTGGAAATGTTTGAAAACTTAAATGTGGGGTCATTTGTAACACAAGTTGAAGCTCGATCGTCTTCATCTGTTTTCTTTAATATAATATCTGGAAACGTCAATGACAGCTTTCGAATTAACCCCTCCACAGGTGTTATTGTTATCAACACTAATGTCGATTATGAAATAATCAAGTAAATATTCAGTACAGTTATAATAATTTTAAAATCATTTATATATTCTCACATTCTTTGGACCGTTTTTATTTCCAGGATTTATAATCTAACTGTAAAAGCGACGAATATGGCCTCCCAGTCTTCTTGTCAAAATGTAATAATTCATGTTTTAGATATGAACGATAATATTCCGAAATTTTTGCAAAGTGAATATATAGGAAGCGTTTCGGAATCCGCTGCTTTGGGTTCATATGTATATATAATTGACGATAAGAAAAAACGGTAAGCAAATTTTTTTAGCTTTAATTCTGTTTACGTCTATAAAGTATAGAAAACTAGAAAAACACATATTCCTTACAAATTTTTTGTGTATTTTTTTTTACGTTTACGTTAACATTCAATTGAAAGGGTTTCTTAAAGTTTTATCTAATAAACCCAAAAGCGTATATTTCAAAAATACATATGATTCGGAGTTACTTGTCGGCCACCCCGACTAGATCTTTTCTATCCTTATACTCATGCTCAAACAAATATTATTGACCATACATACTATCAGTCATTTAAAACTAAATGTATCTGATGCTGATGTTGGACCTAACGCAATGTTGCAATACAATATACTTGACGACTTGGCAAGCCAAATGTTTAAGATTGATTCCACTACCGGAGCTATCGAAATTTTACATAGTCTGGATTATGAAACGAAGACAAATTATTCTTTTTTTGTAACGGTAAGTTTCCTTTAATAACTCAGTAATTACCTTTTTTGTAGATATTATTACAAGCAAGCTGAATGCAAACTATGTTAAATTTAAAAATTGTTAATTTGCAGGTCAGTGACAGTGGTAAACCAAAATTACATTCCATTACAACAGCTCACGTAATGATAATTGTGAGTAATGTTAATGATTGTCCTCCAGTATTCAAAGATCGAGACCTGAATGTTACATTGTTTGTACCAACTTTTGAAAATGTATTTGTGGATCGAGTTTGTGCATTTGACGCCGATAACGATATCATTCGTTATGACATTGTTGATGGAAACAACCAAGAATGTTTTCAAATACATCCCGTTACAGGATTAATAACAACAAGGTAAATGATTATATATATTACTATATTTTATTAAATTAAAAATCAACAATTGTTAAATCTTAATTGTATCGGGAGAAAATATATAAACATTAGAATATAAATTCCTGAACCCATCTCAGTCCGTCTGTCCGTATGTTTGAACACATCGATCTTAGAAGATATAATAGGCAAGAGGTTGCAATTAATGTCCGTACTTTATCCAAAACAAAAAAGTATATATATAGAAGATATACTTTTTTGTTTTATATAGAAGATATACTATAGAAGATATACTTTTTTGTTTTAGATGAAAGTCAGTATCTGTATGTACGGACATTAATTGCAACCTCTTGCCTATATATATGTATTTGAGAAATATATTTTATAAGTATTCATCATTAATTGTTTCTTTGTTTGTCGTAAAAAAATATAGTTCGCAATTGAGATTTAGCTCACAGAATTAAGTAACTTAAGCCTGTAATAAATTCATAATTTACATATATGTTTTTGGTGTAGAAAACTTGAAATTTTTATATTTTTAATTTTCTTCCTCTTAGAAATGACGAATTTAAAAGTCAAGAATACATTTTACACGTCCGTGCCTCTGATGGATTGTATTCCACTATTCTGCTCGTAAATATTAAAATTGAGACAATAGCTGATTCCAACTTCGTGTTTAAAAAAAATATATACGAGTTTTCAACATTTGAAAATACAACGAAAGTTGCGACAATAGGAATAATTAATGTCATTGGAAATACATTGTCCGAAAATGTTGAATACATTATACTTAATCCAACTGAAATGTTCGAAATCGGAATTACTTCTGGAGCTATAAAGACAACCGGAGTAATGTTCGACCGAGAAGTGCAGGACATGTATAAGATATTTGTTGAAGCAAAATCATCGATCTCTGATAAGGACAATACGAATATTCGCAGAGCAATCACTTCAGTTCATATCTCTGTATTAGATATAAACGATAATTGTCCCATGTTTGTTAACATGCCATATTATGCTTCAGTATCTGTTGGCTTTACAAAAGGAACGATCATAATGAAAGTAAAAGCTATCGATCTAGACAGTGCTGAAAATGGAGAAGTTCGGTATGAATTGAAAAAAGGAAACGGGGAACTTTTTAAAATGGATCGAAAAACAGGAGAATTGTCAATTAAACAAATTATTGAAGGACATAATCAAAAATATGACTTGATAGTCGCAGCGTGCGATGGGGCTGTAATTTCATGCTGCACAGAAGTACCAGTTCAAATAAAGGTACACTTAATCATATGCTGTATATTAAATATTGTAAGCTAATACCAAATTTATTATTAAATTATTTTGTCTTTTAAAAAGGTTATTGACCGTTCTATGCCAATATTTGAAAAACAATTTTATTCTGTGAGCGTGAAAGAAGATGTTGAAATGTACACTACGCTATTTGTATCTATCCAAGCTGAGAGTCCTTTAAAACGGAAACTGATTTACACAATATCAGCCGATAATTCAGAACAATTCTTTGAAATCGATTATAGAACAGGTAAATTAACAAACATTTTTGTAGCGGTACATATAAACTCTTGATTTGTGAACTTTAAATATTTCAAATTTTTCTTAGGGTCTTTGTATGTGGTTAACGAGCTTGATTATGAGAAGAAAAATATACATGAGATATCTATTCGAGCTACTGATAGTATTTCCGGAATTTATGCAGATGTCTTAGTATCGATAACAGTAATTGATGTAAATGATTGTTATCCCGATATTAAAAATGACTACTATAATATTACATTACCGGAAAATATTCCATTTGGATCACAAATATTAAAAATAAACGCAACTGATAGGGATTCTGGCGTTAATGGAAAACTATCATATTTCATCGAATCAATCGATGGTCGAAATAATTCCGATACTTTTTACATTGACGTTAATGAAGGATATTTATATTTAAAAGCATCTTTGGATTTTGAACTAAAAGATCACCATCACGTGGTTGTGCACGTTAAAGATCACGGCTCTCCTCAATTATCATCAAAATGCAATGTTTTTATTGCAGGTAAAGCAATATTTATATTCTACCCACTAAGAACAGAATAATATATAAACATCCCAAAATTGTACCTAAATCAAGTATTAATATATATATATATATTTTGTTGATTTCAGTTAAAGATCTTAATGATAACTCTCCGAAATTTATCGAGCCCTCTTTTAATACGAAGCTGTCAGTAGCTGCGACACGCGGTCAATTTGTTGCATTGCCAAGAGCGTTTGATAATGACATGTCTGACATTAATTTTCTGCAATACAAAATCGTTGATGGAAATGAATTACAAACATATAACATAGATAAGCGAAGCGGAATTATTTACCTTCAAAATATGTTAAATTTTACAGATAAACCAGTCACGATTTTAAATATTTCTATTTCCGATGGAGTTCACACAAGTTTTGCTAGATTAAAAATTACTTTAGTCCCTGAAAATGTCCACAGTCCAGTGTTTGATGAAGTGACATATGAAGCAAAAATTTCGGAAAACCTTCCGAATGGACATAAAATAATCACGGTTTGTATATTTTTATGCCAGTTTGTTTTCCGTATTACTCTTGATTTAATTTTGATTTTAGGTAAAAGCTGTTGATAATGATTTTGGCCAATACGCCAATGTTTATTATGAAATCACGTCGGAAGAAATGAAAAAGTATTTTAATATAGACCGAAATAGTGGTATAATAACATCGAAAGTTTCATTTGACCGAGAAATTAAAGATGAGTACGTCGTCCAGTTAAAAGCAATTGATGGTGGATGTAAATTTGGGTTTGCTACACTAAGAGTATACATTAAGGACGTTAATGACAATGCCCCACAATTCTCTTTGAAGGAATATAAGCTTGTAATAAGTTCTTTAATAAATCCAATTGATACCATATTGGCAGTAAGTATAAATAATGCAAATATTTAAATGTAATCAAATGAAAGTAAAAAAATCTTGAGTACATCACTACAGTTTAATTTCTCCAGATCTCTAAGTTTCTAATATTAAATTTCTATGTTTCAGGTAAAGGCTATGGATAAAGATATAGGCGTCAATGGCGTTGTTAAATATACAATTTTCCCCAACTCAATAAAAACCATGTTGGAAAAGAAAATTCATTTGAATGAAAGTACTGGAAACATAGTTATTATTAGGAAACCAGAAAAGCTTGAAAAGGGCGTTTTACAATTTTTTATTCGAGCTTTTGACTGTGGTGAGCCATCATTGCATAGCGACATTCCGGTTTCTCTTGAAATAGTTGATTCGGACGTAAAGGTTCCAGCGTTTGAAAAATCTCAATACAATCTTAAAATAATCGAATCTACATCACCGGGAACTGTCTTGACTAAATTTAATGTTTATGGAAATTATTCATTAAAATTTTCTACTTCAGACAAGAGCTCAATTTTTACAGTATCTGAAAATGGGGAATTAATTTTAATGCAAACATTGGATCGGGAGCAACAGGAAACACATTATATTGTAATAGTTGCCGAAACAGCAACGTTACCTGTTCTATATGCATATGCAGATGTTAATATTCATGTTAATGATGAAAACGACAATTATCCTAAATTTGACAATATAATTTATAGTGCTGATGTTGCGGAAAATACTGATAAAGTAGCGTCAATACTAAAAATAACGGCAACTGATGCAGATAGTGGATCGAATGGTGATGTTCGTTACTATATTGACGATGAATCAAATGGTATTCGAAACGTTTTTGATATCGACATTTATACCGGAATGATCACTCTCTTGTCTTCTTTGGATAGAGAAGTACAATCAGAGTTTAACTTTAAAGTGATTGCCACAGATAACGGTCACCCAAAACATGATTCAAAGATACCAGTGTCTATTAAAGTTATTGATTATAATGACAACGGACCCCAATTCAAGATGTCCAAGGACCAGATATTTGTTTTAGAAAGCGCCCTTCCAGGAACAGTTCTCAAAAATTTGCTGCTTATAGATCCAGATAGCGAAAAGCAAGTAATGGAGTATTATATTATTTCTGGAGATAATCAAGCGCAATTTCAAATTGGAAAAACAGGAGAGTTGTTTATATCAAGACCTCTTGATAGAGAACAAATATCATTCTACAACTTAAGCATATTAGCCACAGACGGCAAGTTTACCGCCAAGTCTAATGTTCAAGTGCACATAAAAGATGTTAACGATAATATGCCATACTGCTTGAAACCTCGTTACCACATTACAATAAATGAATCGATAGCGGTCGGATCAACCATTGGTGAAGTGAACGCATTAGATTTAGACTCAAGTAATGATTTTAAGTTACGTTATTACTTATCTGGGAGGAGTTCCGACGATTTTGCTATATCCAAAGATAGTGGAATTTTAAGAGTAGCAAAACTTCTTGACCGCGAGCGAATTTCAAAATATAACATTTTTACGCACGTTCAGGATGGGAAAGAATTCTTAAGAGAATGTGTGTCTGAAATAATAATTACTGTGAATGACATCAACGATAATGCCCCCATTTTCACTATGCCAAATTATAGAGTAAGCATACATGAAGATGCTCAATTACAAACGTTGATTACAAAAGTACATGCTACTGATAAGGACTTTGGTATAAACCGCAAGATAAGCTATTCATTAATAGGAACAAATAGTGATTATTTTACAATTTCAAAGTCAACAGGAATAATAAAATTAGAAAAAAGCTTGGACCGTGAAACTATATCATTGTATAATTTAACACTTATCGCCGAGGATTTCGGGAGACCAAAGCTGTCTTCAACTGCAAAAATTGTTATAAATATTTTGGATATAAACGACAATCCTCCAGAATTTACATTGCGACACTATTCATATCATTTATATGAAAATGTCACCCATGGGCATGAAGTTTGCACAGTGTTTGCTACATCAAAAGATATTGGTGTTAATGCTGAAATATCATATTTTATAATAAGTGGCAATGAACAGCGCAAATTTAACATTAATTCAAGAACAGGTGTGCTATTGGTCAATGGATCATTGGATTTTGAAAAAACCAAATTTTATTTTCTTACTGTTCAAGCAATTGATGGAGGCAGCCCGCCGCTTAGCAGCATCGCATATGTTAATATCTCCATAGATGATGTTAATGATAACATGCCAACGTTTACGCAAAACATATTTCGAAGCAGTGTGAAGGAGGATAGTTTACTGCATACTCCTATAATAGATATTAAAGCCACTGATGAGGATTCCAACTTGAATGGCATCATAAAATATGATATTGTGAAAGGCGATAGCTTAAGACAATTTCAAATAAACAATAGCAACGGAACAATAAATCTGGCAAGGACACTCGATCGAGAAACTATTTCAGATTATTTACTGGATGTGCAAGCCTGTGATTTAGGGACTCCGGTGCAATGCAATACTGTACAAGTCAATATAATTGTTTTGGACGCAAACGACAATGCCCCAGTATTTTCGAAAGCGAATTATAGCATAGTTTTACAAGAAAATAGACCGCTGGGATATGTTTTACTTACCTTTGAAGTATCTGATGCTGACGAGCCACCTAATTCTATACCTTATACATACGATATACGCTCTGGAAATGAAGGTGGACTCTTTCGATTGGAGCAAGATGGATCGTTGAGTACAGCTTCACGGTTTAATCACAAGTTGCGAGATACATTTACTATACAAATTCGCGTTTTTGATAATGGCACGCCTCCACTCTATGCGGACACTTGGGTGACAATAAAAATAATTGAGGAGAGCCAATATCCTCCAATTTTAACTCCTTTAGAGATTAATGTAAATTCCTTTGAAGATGAATTTACAACTGCATTTTTAGGCAAAGTTTATGCCACTGATCAAGATCAATATGATGAACTAACCTTTTCTATTGCTTCAACAATTGACGAAACATATCAATCTTCTCATCTCTTTAGAGTTACTGAAAAAACTGGTGAAATATTTTCAGCATTAAACTTGGATATTGGTCTTTATAAACTAAATGTATCTGTCACTGATGGAAAATTTACGGTATACACCACTGTTAAAATTAACGTTGAGCTGATAACGATGGAAATGATTAAAGAAGCCACAGTGATTAGATTTAGGAAGATTTCTGCATCAGATTTCCTATTAAGTCATAGAAAAGGCTTTATACGATCCATACGGAACGTGATGAGATGTCGCCCAAAAGACGTGATTTTAATATCAGTTCAGGAGCAAGCTCGAAATTCTTTGGGTAACAGTGAACAATATTTTACAGATTTAAACGTTGTTTTTGCAGTTCACAAACAACAAATTAATCCAAATTCTGACCCATTCTTCAGCAGTGATGAAATTCGCTTATCTGTAATCAGCAAACAAATTGAAATTGAGCACGACTCAAACTTAATCATTGAGGAAATATTACCAAGCTATTGCAAAAGTAAAGAAAACAGTTGTATTAATGGAATCTGTAAACAATTGATCAATATGGAAACCAACAATATTACAACTGTTTACACTGATGTTATTAGTTTTGCAGCGCCTTCCTATAATTTAATAAATAAATGTGTTTGCAAACCTGGATTTGATGGAAAGTACTGTAATGAGACAGTAAATGCATGCTCTTCAGAACCGTGCCCTCCGCAGAGGAACTGTTTGCCATCAGAATCTTTAACTAAGTATCAATGCGTATGTCCAAAAGGATACTCAGGTTCATTCTGTGAAATCAAATCTTCTAGATGCAACAATGGTACATGCGATGATTTTTCATCAACAGCAGTATCATTTGGCGGTAAAAGCTATGCTCAGTACAAAATTAATAAAGCGAAGGCCAAAAACATATTGGAAAATCAATTTGCCTACTCGCTACAAATCAGAACGGTGCAACAAAGTGGAACTCTCTTATATGCCAGCGGAAAAGTTGATTATAATGTATTAGAACTTGTAAATGGAGCTGTAAGATACAAATTCGATTTAGGATCAGGAGAAGGTGTTGTTAGTGTATCAAGCATTTATATTTCCGATGGCGCATGGCACACAATAACATTGGAGCGTACTCTCAGCAGTGCCAAACTAATTGTTGATAATAAACATGTTTCCCAGGGTAGTGCTCCTGGAGTAAATGGCATATTAAATATTCAGTCAAATGATATATTCGTTGGAGCTGAAGTTCGGCCACATCCATCAATTATTGGCTATGAAGATATTCAACGGGGTTTTATCGGATGTATGGCAAATATAAAAATTGCTATGGAGCCTTTACCTTTATACATTTCAGGAGGTAGTACGATTGCTGCTCTTAAGAGATTCACAAATGTTGAGTTTAAGTGTGATCCTGCAAACGTTCTGGTCAGTTTAGGAGTGTGTGGTACCCAACCATGTCTAAATAGTGGAGTTTGCAAGGATGTTGGGAATGACAATTTCAAATGTATTTGTCATGCGCGATTTTCCGGAGAATTATGTGAAATTGATTTGGATCCTTGCTCTTCAGCACCGTGTTTATTTGGAGGGCGCTGTGAAAACCAAGCAGCTAATAATTTCACATGTATTTGTCCAATTCACTTATCTGGAAGAAGATGTGAATATGGAAAGTTTTGTACTCCAAATCCTTGCAAAAATGGCGGAATATGTGAAGAAGGTGATGGTGTGTCACATTGCATGTGCCGTGGATTTACGGGGCCAAATTGTGAAATGGATGTTAATGAGTGTGAAAATCAACCATGCGGGAATGGAGCTACTTGTATTAATGAAGCTGGTAGCTTTCGTTGCATATGCCCGTCATTTCTTACTGGTGCAAGCTGCGGAGATCCCCTTTATTCTAATTCTATTTCTACAAAATTAAAGAACTTTTCAATGGAGCATATAAGTGGAATAATATCGGGCATAACTATTGTATTTGTTATCATCATCATATTACTGGTCTGTCTAGCTTTTAAGAAAAACACATCTACAAAAATCAGAAATCGAAACGAAAAAAATAAAAATAAACACTCTATGAAGCAACCGAATCTTAACTCACTACTCGACAAGGAAAATCTGTGCAAGTCGAATGCTAAAATAAGCAATTTAGAAATCAGTCAACGCCCAATAAGCTATTCGCCTCCCATAAATGATAGCCTATTTGTTAGTAACACAACATTTGTGAATAATTTAGATATTTTACGAAGCTATGGCTCCGCTGGTGATGAACTTGAAAATATACCTTTCGAATATCAAAAAGTTAATCGAACTAATCAACATGTTAATATAAATCCAAGCAATTTAATCGACGGAGACACCAGTCATAAGCAAGAGTGGTGTGAACAAATACATCTAAAAACTTTTAACGAGAATAAGCTGAATAACGGTAAGTATACATGCATAGATTATTGAAAATGACTTTTATACAAATCAAATCAATTTACAGAACGGAGATTAGACTATGGCTTTCCAGTAAACCGCCTTTCAACCGGAAAGCTAATTCAGGTTGCAATGCCCAAAGTGTGTCATTCTACATCAAATGGAAACTTCCTTGATTCCTCTGGAAACGGTCAATATCACTGGGATTGTTCCGATTGGGTTCGGAAAAGCCATAATCCTTTACCGGACATAACTGAAGTTCCTGGCGCAGAAGTCGCGGACTCCTCAAGTTTCCACAGTAATGACAGTAACGAGTCTAAATCAAAACGGAAATATTTAGTTCATGGTAAGTTGGCAAAATAAACTGAATAGGTAATAACTAGTAAAAAATAAAATATACAATAAATGTTTGACATTTCCAGTAGAAGGCATCGATCCAATTAGAGATATAGATGCTCTAAATGAAGATATGGTGTTTGAATATGTGGGTTCAGAAATGGAAAGCTGTGTTCAACCATTTTTATTGCCGAATTTAAATAATGAATCCCGTTCAAGGCTCAGTTCATTTAATAAAAGCGAGAATGAAGACTACAAACTAAATACAGGTATGAATAATATTAGATAATTGAAATCGATTTTTAATAATTATGGAGCAATTTTATTTCCATGCATTCAGTGCCTTTCCAATCTAAATCAAATCATTTGCGTAAGTTAAATTGCGTACACATGTTACAAAATACATAGTTTCCTGTTATGTGATTCTTTATTAGTTTCATGACTTTTTCGTTGTTTATTTATTTAARTAAGCTTTGATAAGAAATAATTAAATAGCTTTAGTCGAGAATTATTGCCTAGGAGATTCCCTGAACCTTCTAAAGAGCTGATATTCCATAAGTTCTAAGCTTTTTTTTATGCATTTTAGTATAAATTTTCCTGTAGGGGCACTATTTCCATGAAACTTTCAGATTTTGATAATAACGTTATTTGAAATACATATATTACATTGGCGAACTACTGAATCCGTAAGGCACTCCACAACTTTGAGCATAGCCTTTTATACACATGTATGTGAGCACTTCACAAAATCGGCCAACTTCCCCATAACAAGAGTTTTGTATCCATTCTCTTCCCACAAATATTTATGAAAAGCAAGGCAAAGACGAACCTCTGGGAACTAGAGTTGTCAAAATATATCTTTGCAGATTTGCAGATCGCTGCGACAATTATCGCTTATAACATCGCGTCGCTTATAGCACTATCCAGAGAACACATAGACCGGACAAGTAGTGTAAAGCGTTTTGCACACTTTTTTTCGGGAGTTATCTCCCAGACACTTCGTATTTGCTCGGCTCCTCACTTTTTGGGTTCGGGCTACGAAAAAATACGAAAGCACAATCATTTCGCTTCATGCGCTCGACCGAGATGGTCGACTGTTGAACAAAAGATCCCTCTGCGCTGAATGTTTCCCTTGCTCTCTCTCTCTCACGATGCTCTCTGCTCTCTCAAATATGTATATGTATGTATGCATGTGAGCACAAGCAGCGCTCACAAATTGAAATTTCTTCGCAGCGAGAGCCCATGCCTACCCTTATGTGTGAAGAGTATACCGAACTTTTCAAACCGTTTGCCATGCGTTTTCGTTATTATTTGTGGGAAGGGTATGAAAGCGTTGGTGCGCATAATGAAAATGTTTTCACGACGAGCATGCACACACACACTTACAGTATGCTGCATGTACTATGAACATTTGTATGCCTGTGTGCGAAGCTCTTGCTGCCTGTAGCATTTTAACTCCCAGCATTTGCATTTGGTCGATCTTATGAAGTGCTCACATACATATGTATGTATGTATGTATGTATGTATATACATTTGATTGTGTGTACGCATGGGAGGCGCTGCTCACAATTTTGGGATATAACTTGTAGAAGCATTTGTATGCCTGTGTGTGCCTTTACATGTGCGTGTGTATGCCTGGGAGATGAACATTGGCGTGTGCCTCCCTCAACTTAGAATGGTGTGAACGATTTTGGGTTTTATTTGAAGAGGCGCGCTTATGTTTAAGTACCTGATTTCACTCAATGATCGTGGGTTTGCCTATCAGAATGAATGTTTTTTAAAAATGTGGTACCTGATTAATCCCAGTGGGCAAAATGGGATGTGTTTTTTGAACCCTTGCACTTGTGCATACATATGCAGGTCAATTTGGCACCTTTTTAAAGATATGAATACAGGTAAACAGGTCAAATAGACCCTTTTTACAAAAATTGCATACCAAAATTGCCCAAATTGACCCTTTTTTAAAAAGAGNACTTTTTATTCATTTTTTTTTTATTTTAATTTTTATTTTAATTCACTTAATTTTAAGTTCACTTTCTTTTTATTCTTTAATCCAATTATGGTTTTAATGGGTTTCACTTAGCTGATTTACTTTAATACTTTATTTAACTTTTTTTTTAGTTCACTTAATTGTAATAACTTATTATTTAGTTTGTTTTGTTTGTTTGCACAAATAGCACTTTCGAATTATCTTGAGATAACCAGGTATTTCTGAAATTATGTTCTCTCCGAATTCTATCGCGTCTTCTTGAATTATTTTCAAGTTTTTTTTTTATACCCTGAACCCATTGAAAATGGGAAATCAGGGTATAATGGTTTTGTTGAAATGTATGTAACAGGCAGAAGGAGGCGTGGCAGACCCCAAAAAGTATATATATTCTTGATCAGGGCGACGAGCTGAGTCGATTTGGCACTGTCCGTCTGTCTGTCCGTCCGTCCGTACGTACGTATGTATGAACGCGCATATTAAGTTTTTCTCTAAATATCGATAAATACTCTCGATATTTTATTATCGATTAAAACCCTTATCGAAAGCTAGCTATTTAATCATATCTCCTACACCTTCAGAGTTAGAGCTTCCAAATTTTAAATGTAGACTCATATATATTTTATACAATTTCGATTTTTGTTAAAATTTACCCCCCACTCCTATTTCTACCCCCTCACCCTCACCTTTATAAAAAGCGTATTTCAAATACTAGAGACTTGTGCTTTGGAGTTTACATTTTCACCATATGATTATGTTCTGAAAGTTTCATTAAGATTGTTCATCTAGAAATTAAATTATTCAACAAATAAATTCTTATAATGTTGCTCACACTGCAGCGCAGCCCAAGCGCAGTCGCTGCTTATTGCACAGTTAGCACAGCGCGTTCTAATACGTGCGTGTGTATGTAAGAGTGCCGAAAAAAGGGCACAGTGATTAGAATATCAGATTGGAGGGCTCAGGGTATCTCCTAGTCGAGCAGTCTCGACTAGAGTCTTTTTACTTGTTTCTTTTATTTCTTGCATAATCTGCGGCCTTGGCAATTTTGGTTTACGCGTCACTGTCGATGTTTTATTTAAAAACTTGAAGCGATATTGACCCGTCGCGTGAGTCGCCTTCGCGTTAGTTGTTTAGCGGATAGCAGTAAACGAGGCAGAAGAATTAATAACTTAGTTATTGCATCAAGATCCACAATTTATTGCTATCCTACCGGCTGCGCCAATTAAGTATGTGTTACGAGTCGAATAAATGCCGCGACACACGCTAACAGCAACGCTAATTTAAAAGACGAAGTCAGAGATCGATTATGACAACTTGCTTTATGCATTGCCGTCTGTCAAACCGGCGCCAGTATTTATGATCTGTTAGACGCGTCGTTCTAAGGATATCGGCTTGCAACATTATTGCTATGCAATAGCAAGAATGCAACGGCATTCTGTCAGGCCATTTTTGAATCGCTTTATACTGGATTTTCGTGATCTAAGAAAATCCAGTATGAACTAGTTTTGAATATTCTGTGTGTTGTGGTCATTGTCAGTATGAATATGTCACTATGTATATGTCATATACCCTACAGAAAACAAACTTTTCAATAATAACCATCAGCCCGGAGGGGCTATGCCGCAATTCATAGCCTTGTGTGGTCAGTGGTATCATTGAATCTAAGAATATAGAGATTTTTAAGGAAACTTATAAATAATTATAGAATATTAAAAAATAAATTGAAAAGGGAAATCACTACACAATGTGGGAGCTATGGCCGAATATCCAGTTTATGCAGCAGCTCACCTTTGGGAACTGTGTGTGATTTTCCTAAGATGATCTGAAAGCAAAGCTTCAATTACTGGGGGAGTGAGTTCAAGAAGAAAAACATGATCAAATTTTATTATATGTAATTATTGCATAAAACTTGTAACGGTAAAAAAACGGACGAAAGATTCTGGCGATTATTCTGGTTAGCGCGATTGTATTATTAATAAGAAATATTGCCCACTACTTGTACTAGTTTATATTTTAAATGATTTTTTTAGAATATCTATTGTTTTTCATCATTACCAGGCAAAGTATATTTGCGACACCCTGATTCGTATTTACCTACATTACATACTCCAAGTGACACTGAGGCGGAAAGCTCCAATAATGAGACAGCTATGCTAAAAAAGGAGTTACCAAGAAGAGCAATCAGTGGTAATGTATATTATATTTATTTACAATTCGTATGCATTTGATGCAAAAACTGGCGACATGTATATTATATATTATAAAAACGAAATAAACTATTATTATGAACTTATTAGAATAACCAATCTGAACCCATTGAAAATGGGAAATCAGGGTATAATGGTTTTCTTGAAACGTAACAGACAGAAGGAGGCATGGCAGATCCCACAAAGTATTTATATTCTTGATCAGGGCGACGAGCTGAGTTGATTTAGCCCTGTCTGTCTGTCCTTCTGTCCGTATGTTTGAATTTTTTCCTAGGTTCGAGTGGTATACGCGCACATCGAGTTTTGCTTCGAGAATCGAGAACTTGCCCCGTTATTTTATTATCGATTAAAAGCGTTATCGAAAACTAGTAATAAATTTATATCTGCTATATCTTTAAGGCTAGAGTCGCAAAATTTTAAATGTAAATTTATATGTACTTTATAGAATTTCGATTTTTGTCAAAATTTACGATCATTTTTATTTTCAAATTTTATAATAAAAGTTAAGCCATAACTCTTATTTTTAATTTTTATTATAAAAATTGAAAAATTGTGATTTGATTTTTATATAAACATTTNGCGCTCACTGCAGCCCATGTGTGTTTATGCGTGGGTGCTTGTGTGTGTATGTGTTTGTGTATGTGTGTGTATGTGTTTGTGTATGTGTAAGTATGTGTTTGTGTATGTGTGTGTGCATGTGTATGTGTATGTATGTGTTTGTGTATGTGTGTGTGCATGTGAGTGTGTGTATGCGTTTGTGCCTGAATGCGTGTGTGTGTATGTATGCCTGTGTGTGTGTGTGTGTGCGTGTTTCTTGTGTAAGCTGAAAGACGCGAAAAATTATTGAAATAGCTATTACTCCAAGGGTTCAGGGGATCTCGTAGTCGAGTAGTCTCCACTAGAGATTTCTTACTTGTTATATATGTATGTATTTGCTCTCAATTATACTTGAACTGTCATTAATCAAATGTATTAATAGTATTGGATGGATTCCGTTGCTTTTTTTCATGAAAATATTGCGACTGAGACTAAAAATTATACGCAATGACTACGATTTGAATACTCCCAATGTTTCTCTCTTTGCGGATACCTTTCACTCGATCGATCTTTTGATCAATATTTATCGATGTCTGTAACAAAAAATGTAATGTGTTCTCTAAAATTATCGAATTTAATTACATTTTCAATGTATCAAATCAAATTATCGAGCACGCGCTCTGCTAACTGCGCAGTAAGCAGCGATTGCGCTTGGGCTGCGCTGCAGTGTAAGCAATATTGTGAACATTTATTTGTTGGATAATTTCTTTTGTAGACGCGCAATCTCAATGAAACTTTCAGAGCGTAATCATATGGTTGAAATGTTAACATTCCGAAGAACAAGTCTTTAATACTTGAAATACGTTTTTACAAAATCTTTGAATCTCTGAAGTCTCTAGGTTTAAAGCTGTTCAAAAATCGAAAAATATGATATCGAAAAAATATGATAAACTTGTACTGCGTATGGTTACACGAGTATGCATACAAAATTTCAGCTCTGTAGCTCTTATATCTTCAGAGATCTGGACGTTCATAAGGACAGGGCTAAATCGACTCACCTCGTCGCCCTGATCAAGAATATATATACTTTATGGGGTCCGCGATGATTCCTTCTGGCTGTTTTTCACAAAAACATTATACCCTAATTTCCCATTTTCAATGGGTTCAGGGTATAAAAACACAAATCGATGATACTTCAGGGTATCACCTAGTGGATACCCGCTTGATTTATTTTAACTTGATTTTGCAGAAGTTTTAAATATATAAAAAGTGATGACGTCTTAGCAGATGGGCTTTCCTTTAAAGAGTTTAAAATTCAACCAGGCCTAAAATACCGTCACACTCTTGAAGTGTTCTTAACATATCAGGGGACATAATTGGTACTTGCCGCAACCGCTCGGCTTGTTGGTTGTTGGTTTTGTCTTACATGCGGTGGGTGTGTCCGAATTTAAATGTTGGACATGTATCTCATTTTTAATGCAAAAATATATTATTTTTGCTGAGTTCGTTTTGACTTTGGCCAGAGGCTGTCAAAGCAGGGAATTGAAACAGGCGCACGAATTAGGTCAGGCGTATGACGAATGTTCGACTGGGATTTTCAAGACCGCAGTTTTAACTTGGGCAACAAGCTCTAAAGTCAATGAAGCAAGCGACACATAAGATTTAATATTATTAAGATTGTGTAAAGAAATTTGACTGCTTTAGTCATTGGTCTATGCAGAATTGTGTATTTCACAATTTGTGCTACTGAATCTTAACTTTCACCCGAACCCCACTTCTAGCCTTCTTAAAAAGAGTTTCAAAATGGCAACAGTTGCAACATTATTGTATCTGATGGATAATGTATCTATATATACAAAATTGCTTAGAGTGCAAATTCGGCTGAATATGTAGCGTTTCATTTTGCGAATTTGTTGCTGACTTGGCCAATTCGCAGCCCAGCATCACTTTTCCAGAGAAACGCAGTCAGCAGATAGAGCTTTACATACCGATAATTAATATGTATATGGACGATATTTTTAAGCGAGAGCGATAAACGAATAATTAATAAATACAATATCATTATTAATTTTATAATATTGAATTACTCACATCAAATTAGAGAAGTTTAGTAATATTAACTTACATATATGTTATATATAATTTTTTTTTTCAGGTATTCAATTCAAAAATGCGATATACTTGTCAACCCATTCCATTTTCGCAAACGTTTTATTCAACTTACCAAACAGATACACTGTTGCCTTCTTGTAAGCCACATTAAGCGAAGTGAACTGTTATTATACGAGTTATGTGCAGTTTTAAAAGTAATTTGTACCTTTCCGACAAGCCTGGCGAACAGCAAAATCTATTGTTCTCGACCCAAATCGACAGAAAATAGTCATAATCTAGCCATAGAGTAATGATACTAAGCGCTTTGATTTCACTAGATTGATAAGCTAATAAGATTCTCGCTCTTTTTAGATTGAAGGCATAGATAAATAGTTAATTAGGCTTCTTGCTTTGTAAGAAAAATGTTTGTGTGAGAATTGCTTTATAATTTTTCAGTCTCAGTTGTGTTGCTGTCGCCAGAGTAAAGTAGTTTTGTTTTTATTGTTGTTCCAGCTATTGGAAGTCACCAATAATAAAATGTTGTTTATTTATTTGTTAATAGCAGAATTAGCCTCAGTCTTAACAAGTGCACTGGAAATATTGTGCCCCATGGATATTAAAACATGAAAGGCTGACCATTGTAGCTGAAGTGCGGTGCCTCACATAATTCTTTCATGTCGTTTGCCGCTCTTTGCCGACTGGCTATGCTGCTAATTAGCTGAAGAAAAGCAATTGCTAGGCATTTAGTAAAAACTATTCGCATGAATTTTGCTAGACACCAGGCAGACTACTGTTATTTTGTATACCCTGAACCCATTGAAAATGGGAAATCAGGGTATATTGGTTTTGTGAAAAAGTATGTAATGGGCAGAAGGAATCATCTCAGACCCCATAAAGAATATATATTCTTGATCAGCACGACGAGGCTGAGTCGCTATAGCCCTATCCGTCTGTCCATATGAGTGCGTCGATCTCAGAAGTCATAAGAGATAGAGAGCTGAAATTTGGTGTACCATACGCAGTACATGTTTATCATATTTTTTCGATAGCTCGTCCGATAAATTTTGTATCGAGAATAATTGAAAATTCAATTTAATTTTTTAGCCTAATTTGATCACTTTTAGACCTAGGGACTTCACTTTACTGTGTGTATACAGTTGATCGATACGAAGATTTTGTAATTTACAGATTTGGGATACCACGCCCCCAATTTGTAAAAACGCATTTCAAGTACTAGAGAGTTGTGCTTTGGAATGTACACACATTTTAACCACATAATCACGCTCTGAAAGTTTAATTAGGATTGTATGTCCACAAAAGAAATTATTCAACAAATAATTTCTCATAATATTGGCCACACTGCAGCGCAGCCAAAGCGCAGTCGCTGCTAATTGCGCAGTCAGCAGAGTGCGTGATTATAGGTGCGTGTGATACGTGTGTGCGTAAAATAAGTGCAGAATGAGTAGAATATCAGCTTAGAGGGTTCAGGGTATCTCGTAGTTGAGCAGTCTCGACTAGAGCCTTTTTATACCCTGAACCCATTGAAAATGGGAAATCAGGGTATAATGGTTTTGTTGAAATGTATGTAACAGGCAGAAGGAGGCGTGGCAGACCCCACAAAGTATATATATTCTTGATCAGGGCGACGAGCTGAGTCGATTTAGCCCTGTCCGTCTGTCTGTCTGTCCGTCTGTCCGTCTGTCCGTCTGTCCGTCNGAAATTTTAACTATACTTTATGTGCGTTTTTAATAGTTTGGTTATTCTAGCAGATTCTTAGAATCACATCAGCAGTTAGTTTCATTTAGTTTTGGTAGATGGCGCTGCAGCAGTGAATCTATTTGAGTTTTGCCAGCGCCACTAGCAGGAGTGAGGTGGCCTAGTGTGTTAGCAGCATGACGCTCGACCGAGGAGTCGCGGTTCGAATCCCGGTCGATGCAACTGATGTTAATTTTTTTTTAATTATTTCAAAATATTTTTATATTTTATTAAATGAGTTTGGTATTTTATTTATATTTTTAAATACATCGAAATTGAAATTTCAGCCATACTAAATGAGCATTTTTATTTGTTGGGTTCAGGGTAGTATCTAGTCGAGCACTCTCGACTAGAGTTTTCTTACTTGTTACTTGTTATAATTTCTGTCTTTTTTTTTTTTTTTTTTTTTTTTTTTTTTAAATTTTTTTATCTGTTTGTCTGTAGCTTTAGAGAACATCTTGATGCAATTTGTAGCTAATTGGCTTCATGCTTGTAAGTATCTAGTATATAGTTTCCAGTCGTCAGTCCTGGATAGAGGTTGTTTCTGTTTCTTATATGTCTAATATCTCCGAAACAGATGTTAGCTCCAACTTGACAGTTTAATCTTAGCACCTTTGGCTTTAGCGCTGATCTACAAC